CCGGAGGAGCAAAGGAGATTTTAATACCCCTTGCCTAGGCCTAGCTTTAAGTGAGGGTCACTCATGGGATGCCTTCCAGATGGTGGGAACCAATTCCAAGTAAGGAAAGAGATTAGGGATGGCATAGAACCCCTCCCCCCCCTTTAGTTAAGGACCAAAAGTCTCCTTTAATCTACTACACCGTACAGCTCCTACCAGTCTTATCTCGGCTGCTCAAAATGCTAGCTCAGCAGCTTTGCGTCCAGAGAAGGGAGAGCAGTTTTTTTTCAAGGAAGAATTGAGATGCTTTAAGCCAGGGGTGGCAAACTTTATTTCATTGAGGGACGCATCAGGGTTGTGTTTGACCTCGGGGGGTGAGGGGGGGCAGGGGGCGTGGCATGGCCAAGGTGGACGTAGCCAGCTTGACGTTACTCATGTCAGGGGCTCCTGTGGTGGCCCAAATGTTCTGCCTAGTGAAAAGGGAGCTCCCACTTTCACTGGCAGAAGGTTACAGGAGGCCATCCCGGGCAAAAACGGAGATTGGTAGCCCGTTTTTGCTGGCGGATCCACTGCGGGCTGATCTGCTGTTTCCAGGGCAGCCCTGTGGGCCAGATCCAAGCACCCCATGCGCTGGATCTGGCCCACAGGTTTTGAGTTTGACACACTCTAGGAGAGATGGACAGTTTAAAAAAAAAAGACTGGAAGGAAATGTTGTGATATCACTCAACTTCCTTTTGTCAGGTGTGGAAGAATAGCTCAAGTCTTTGAGCCAGGAACCGCCCAAAAATAAAAATCCTACCAAAGTAGACTCCCCTCTCTGCCATCTGATTATTTTCTCCCTTCTTCTGGGTCCTCTAGAGCAGTGTTTTTCAACCTTGGGGACTTTAAGTCCTATGGACTTCAACTCCCAGAATCCCCCAGCCAGCATAGCTGGCTGGGGAATTCTGGGAGTTGAAGTCCACAGGACTTAAAGTCCCCAAGGTTGAAAAACACTGCTCTAGAGTAGACAATCTGTGCAATTCAGGATTGAACTGTGAGGTCCTTGATGCTCTCTGAAGTTGGCTATTTTCTTGCAGACGTTTTATTACCCTACCAGGTAACATCGTCAGTGCACCTAACTGGGCAATGAAACATACAAGCAAGAGCACCAATAACTCCACACTCATCCGTATTCGCTTCTAGATCGGTGATGGCTAATATTTTTCTCCTCACATGCCGAAAGCGTGCGAGCTCGTGCAATAGCATGTGTGTGCAAACCCACATCCATAATGCAATGCAGGCGCCCCCCCCGCATATCACGTTCCCCTGCCCATTCATGCCCGACCCCCACATGCTCCCCCCACGCATGTGCACACAACTTCCCGCACCTCATTTTGAGCCTTGCAAGTCTCCCTACAGCCTCCTGGGACCAAAAGTGGGGCATGGAGGGGGGGAATCCCCTTGTGTGACCCCCCCATGCATGCACATGTGACCCCCCCCCCGCACGTCTCCTGCATAGGCAGCAGAGACCCGAAAATCAGCTGGCCAATGGGAGGCGTGCCATAGGTTTGCCATCACGGTTCTTGATTATTACTATCACTTTGCCTGGACTTCAATTCTTCCAGATATTGATATTGCTGATCAAGGGAAGTTTTGTTCAGCCAGGGCCCCCCTTAACTCAGAGTGGGACAGCTTAGTGCAGCCAATTTGTGTAGCCACTTGCCGTGGCCAATTCACCTGCAGGACAATTCAAGGGTTTAAAATAATAATTTTTTTAAAAAGTATCTGCATTCACATTTCATTTTGTCCTTCCTTTCGCTTCCTTTCTTAAATGATTCTCTTTCACTGTTTCTTCGGTATTAGTGTAATTCTTGTCCTGCAGCGAGTTGGCTTGTGGTGAGTTGGCCATGTTGAGTTATCCTAGATACCCCCTCCCCCCCTTAAGTGTTGAGTGTTTGTATTGCTGTATTTTGCTCCTCTTCACACACACCCCTCTTCCCCCTTTTTGGCTCTCTATTTCTTGGCCAGGTGCTGCTTCCTGAAGCACGGGGACTACCTGAAGCTCCCCTGGAAATGTGAATCCTAAGAAAGTGCGATATCGCTGCTAATCTCTTGTCTGGTTGAGATAAAGTTGCTCCAGGCACAATTCTTACATTCTGCATCACAACTTCCTGCTTCTTTCACCAGAATGCCATGTGCAGGTCTGGTTATTGTTAGTTGCGAAGTCATGTCCGACCCATTGTGACCCCATGGACAACGTTCCTCCAGGCCTTCCTGCCCTCTACCATCCTCTGGAGTCCATTCAACCTCACGTCAACTGCTTCGGTGACTCCATCCAGCCACCTTGTTCTCTGTCGTTCCTCTTCTTTTGTCCTCAATCTTCATCTTTCCCAGCATGAGGCTCTTCTCCAGGGAGTCCTTCCTTCTCATTAGGTGGCCAAAGTATTTGAGTTTCCTCTTCAGGATCTGGCCTTCTAAAGAGCAGTCAGGGTTGATCTCCTCTAGGACTGACCGGTTTGATCGGCTTGCAGTCCAAGGGACTCAATGCAGGAGTCTTCTTCTCCAGCACCAGAGTCCAAAGGCCTCCATTCTTTGGTGCTCAGGCTTCCTTATGGTCCAACCTTCACAGCCATACATTGCAACTGGGAAAACCACAGCCTTGACTATAACGCACTTTTGTTGACAGGTGATGTCTTTTTAATATGCTGTCTAGATTTGCCATAGCTTTCCTCCCCAGGTCTGGTTGTTGTTGTTGCTAGTTGTGAACTCTTCCTGTCCTCTACCATCCTCTGGAGTCCATTCAAGCTCACGCCGACTGCTTGGGTGACTCCTTCCAGCGACCTCATTCTCTGTCGTCCCCTTCTTCTTTCGCCCTCCGTCTTTCCCAGGTTTGGTAGAAAAGCACAAAGATGCTTTGGAGGATCAAACACCTTTAAGAGATGGTTTTAGTTGCGGCTTTACATGTTTGTTTAGTTTGTTTAGTTTCCTGAGCCTAGTGGTTTCCAGAGGTTTTCCAGTGGCTTTTTGTAACACTTTTCTACAAATATTGGCAAGTTTCTGCCACCTCGTACGAGTAGAATTGAAACTTGTTTTCTCCAAGGAATTACCGGGCTGTGTGCTTCAGTTATTTATTGACAGTGATGTGGAACCTAATGGCTTTTTAAACCCAATTTGTTCATCGTTGAAATTTCCCCTGAAAAGGAAGTTGTGATTAAATTTATGGGTGGCTGACACTCAAACTCTCAGCACTGGTCTTGACTGCATTGGGAGTTCCTGCACCAAAGAAAGCCGGAGGTTTCCGTTGGGGGACATTTGCGTAAAGAAAGGTAAGGCTTGTCAGAAGGTCGCAAAAGGGGATCACAGGATCCCCCCGGACACTGCAACCGTCATAAATATGAACCAGTTGCCAAGCATCTCAATTTTGATCACTGGACGACCAGGGAGATGTTGCAAAAATCGTAACTGTGAAAACGGTCATAAGTCACTTTTTTCAGTGCTCTTGTAACTTTGTGAACAGTCACTAAATGAACTGGTTTAAGTCGAGGACCATACCTGGTGTATGAAAAAAAAACAAAAACAGGCAAGATAAAAATCTGAAAAACAAATTCTGAGTTGTTGCAGTGCATTGCAAAAAGTTAATGAATTGGCCTTTGCCAGGCCTTCCTTGGCATCTGATTTAGGAGGAATGTTAAAGACTATGATGCTTTCTTGATATTTGCTGCCTTGACAGCTCTTCTTTCATTTTTTTTGTACATTTGAAGCCCTACTAAGGCAATCTATATTTATAAAAAGTGTGTGTGTGTGTGTGTGTGTGTGTGTTCTAGCATAACTCTGGAACTCCTCAAGCAATTTCAACCAAACTTGGTACACAGATGACTTTCTCTCTGAAAAAAAATACTGTGGGGGGTAAGACACCCCTAACACCCCTCGGGGTGGGAGTGTTCTGATAAGATACAGTCTGTTGTACCTTAAAATGACTTCTACTGTACAGCGCAGGGGAGTTGCTATGATAACAGCTTCACAGTATTCCACAAGAGGTCCATGATAAGGGCTTCATAGTACTCCACAAGAGGGCTTCCTCTGGTAAGGGGGAAAATCCAACATTAGATATTATGTTTGGTCCGGACATTTCCCCCCTATAAATGGCAACGCCAGAGTACCAGCAAATAAGAAAATAAAAACAGCAGTGTAAAATTAAGCCTGTTTGGCGTAGTGATTCAAGCAGGTCTCCAACACTTGGCAACTTTTAATTTCCAATTTATGGATTTCAACTCTCAGAATTCCTCAACTATGTAAATGGTGGCACTGATATCACTTCATTGCTTAATGTGGCATCTGAAGGGTCAAGGCAGAATTCAGAACTGGAATAAAATCCTCTTTGCCAGACCGCCTGACTTGCCAATATCCAGCCCACTAAGCCAATTAACAGATGTGTCAGTTTTTGGTATTTTCAGTACCATTATTAATGAGTTCTATCATTAAAAAGTTGTAGCCTGTGCTGAAATGAATAAGATGACTACGGAGATAAAAGTTACACTATGAAATTAAAAGAAAGAGAAGTGTCAGACTATTATAAAATTTGGAGTAGACTGTACAAGTGGCTAAAGAATAGAAGCCAAAACAAGAAATAAAAGTTTTAAAAACTATTGGTTATATTATGAAGAAAAATGTATGTATGTAACATCTGATTATAGATACTATACTATTATATTACAATATAATTATTACATTAGTATTAGAATTGCTAAAAACTACAAGAAGGCAATAATTGAATATTCATGCTGATAGGGAAAGCTGTAAAATTATATTATATTGCCATGTTGTTTGTGTTTTTATTTGTTTTGTATTCGTTTTTTGTATTTTTTTTCTTGTTCTTTTTTCCTCTGTTCCTCTTTTTTTACTTGAGATTTTTAAACTTGAAAATGTTCAATAAAAACTATTTCTTTAAAAAAATGTTGAGCCCGTTATACTTTTCTGTAAGGTAGATAAGGATCTTTACCCTCCCTCCCTCCATTAATTCAATTTCTTCTTTGCTCTTGTAGTGCCGACCACAAAAATCTTGGCTACCGGCGGGGCATCCCGTAATAAGGCAATCTTGCAAGTAAGTGTGGCCTTTTTGCATTTGAGATCAGCATCCAGTGTGCCATGCTAGCCAGCTGGTGAGCTCTCGAGTCAAAATTCAAAACCAGGGAACCAAGGTCTTGAGTAGGCACAGCCTTAGGAGGAATTAGCCAGGAAGGAAATTTCCGTAGGAGATGATTACATGCATGGAAGGACATTCAGGATTTACTGTCCTGGTCATCTGTACATCTCCTAGGTAAAGAACTTGTCAGGAGCAAACCCCAATTGGTCTGGGAAACTACCATGGAAACTTCCAATCAAATTAGATCCTGTTGAGCTCAATCTGCTGTTCAGCAGCTATTATAATGTAAATATTAGAGACTAGATGGATTAGGCAGGATATAATAGTGTCCTCCAGGATGACATACAGAATAAGATACTAGAGGGCAGGATCAAAAGGGCAGGATCAAAAGGGCAGGATGGAAGCTTCTAGGGACCCAACCTAGAAGTAAGAAATTAAATTTCATTAATTTTATTTCTTATTTATTTGTAGCTTCACATTTTCCGACAGAGCAGTTAATTAGTGGAACAGTTGCTTCCCTGATGGTGAGTCCTCCCCATCACTGGAGGTTTTCAAAAATAGACTGGACAACCAATTCATCTGGGACAGCATAAGCCTTGAGAGGGACTAGAAGACCTCTGGGGTCCCTTCCGACCCTATGATTCTATGTTTGTACAGTCATTCAGAGTCGGCCTGTGATTTTGGAATTTCAGAATCCGTGAGCGTGCAAATATAATATATTATTTGTAACACTCTGACTTGTATGTATGTTGCACGGAGAACTGGCACTTCTTTATAACTTAAGAAGGGACCAGAAAGCAGATAGTTTTTAAAAAGGGCCCCTTCAAGCAACAACGGAAAGGAGGAAGGATGAGGAGGGAAAAGAAGAAAGGGTAAAGCAGAGGAAGTAAGGGAGGGGAATTTAGGAGACAGGGTAAGAAGGAGGGGGAAAGAGGGGAAGAAGAAAGGAGGAGGGATGAGGAGGGAAAAGAAGAAAGGGTAAAGCTTGAGAGACCGCCTGCTGCCAATTACCTCCCACAGACCTGTTAGATCGCACAGGGTCGGCCTCCTCCGGGTTCCGTCTACCAGCCAATACCATCTGGCTACCACCCGGGGGAGGGCCTTCTCTGTTGCAGCTCCGGCCCTTTGGAATGAACTCCCCGCGGAGATTCGGACCCACACCCCTCTCCAGGCCTTCCGGAAAGCTGTCAAAACCTGGCTGTGCCGGCAGGCCTGGGGTTGATGAGTTCCCCTCCCCTCTCGACTTGTATGGCTGTATGACTCTTGTGTATTTTAATTACGTGTATTGTATTTGTATCCCCTTTCCCTTTTGGAGTTGTTCGCCGCCCTGAGTCCCTCCCGGAGAAGGGCGGCATACAAATAAATTAAATTTTGAATCTTGAATCTTGAAAGCAGAGGAAGTAAGGGAGGGGAATTAAGAGTAGGAGAGAAGGTAAGAAGGAGGAGAAGAGAGAAGGAGGGGGGAAAGAGAGGAGAAGAAGAAGGGAGGAAGGAAAGAAGAAGGCAGAGAAGGGAGGTTGAAAAGATAGAAGAGGCAAAGTTGTTTGCAAAATAAGATGGAAGCATTGGATGGCAAGAAAGTGACCCAAACTGTATTCTATATATTTGTAAGAAAATAACAATAAAGATTAATGATGAACAGTTAAAAAAAAGGGGGGGGGAGGCTCCTAAACCTTTATCTCAGCCACTGTTTCCTGTTTTTGTTGTTGATGAAGTACAGCTCATTCCCACTTGGAAAGAGGCCTTTGGCTTCACGTCATCAGTTGACACATCATCGGACTGTGACATGACACCGAGAAGAAAAGGTCACGTCAATCTGTAGCCAGAAAACCACAGAAGTTCACATCTTTAGGTTCCTAGAAAAGGCAAATTAAAGCAGATGCTTTTCGAAGTAAACAACTGGGAACAGTCAATAAGCCACAACTTTATTGGAACCTTTTGCTATTGTCTGGGTGTTACTACCATTGTGTATTACAGTTGCAACTATCTAAGGTTCTGTAACATTGGCCTCTTTGCATTTGTTCATAAAAACAGTTACAGGTAAATCCTCCACTCACAACCACAATTAGGATCAGAACTTATTTTGCTAAGCAAGATGGTTGTTAAGTGAGTCTTGCCTGATGTGGCTAGGGAGGTCACAAATGGCGATCACATGACCCCAGGATTCTGCAATTGTAATAAATGCATACTGGTTGCCAGTCCAGAATTTTAATCCCATGACAGGGTGTGTGTTTTTTTTGTGTGTGCTGCAATGGTCATAAGTTTGAGGACCAGTTGTAAGTCCCTTTTCTTTTAGTGCCGTTGTAATTTTGAATGGTCGCTAAATAAATATGAATTTCTAGGAAATTCATTTTAGGGTTTTGGAAAAAGAAGGAACTCTGAAGGATACGTTGAAGCCAAGTCAGCAACCCGATTAATTCTGCCTCATTAGCAGATGCTAAGATCCAAACATTGCTCACTTTTTTTTACCTATTTAAACATTGCATTCCCCCCCCCCCTTCCCAGTGAATGTTTTAAGTGAGATTGAAACAGTTCTACTCAGTCCCATAGCCTTCTTCCTTTTTGCTGCCCATAATTTGCAAGTATCTGATTGTTCTTAGTTTCTTTGTAGCCATTCTGTTGGGGAGCTAAGAAATCCGAAGGCCAGTATTTCTCAGGGGCAAAAGGTTGAATAGAGATTTTATTTTCCCCCAAGAATGGGTAAAGACAACAGATTTGTGTGTGTAAAATGCCATGTAAGTTCATCTAGTACCTTCTCGGACCTTCGTCCTTAACCCTGTGTCCTGGTAATAGCTCTCAAAACTCCTGGATTTAATACAGTACTTTGCTTTCCCAGATATTATTCCCAGACATTCCAGAATTGGAAGGGAAATATTCTTTCATTGCGGGCTTAAAGTGAAAAAGCTGCCAGATTGGCTATTAGGGTTCTTCCCAAATCATGAGACAAGAATAATATGATCTCCAGCAGACTGCTCGGTTTTTTAATAAGTGTAATATTTCTTTATATCTGGCTTTTGATTAAAAACCCAGTTGCCCATTAGTTTGCAAGCTGCAAAATAGAATGCAGTCAGTACTGGATAACTTTGAAATTCCATTCCTGCTCATGTTTTAAGCTCACGTTAAATTGTTGCCAAATGACGCATCCTTATGTACTTTTCCATAAAACTGGATTTATTTGATAGGATTTACAAAATCGAGGGACTGTCCGTAAATCTGTGTAGGCATTAGATTGTTGGGGAAGCTCATATGAAAGTTTCCCTTCATTTTATCCCAAGCATAAAGGCCCTTGTTAAGCTGAGAAAGAGCAGCTGGGCTAAAGTTACTTGGTGTCGGATTTTGAGGTAGGCCAGGAAAAAGTCACTGCAGCATTAGATGAATTTACTTTATTGTTGTACAGTGTAGTAAAAGAATCTTGAAAGCCTACATGAGTTTCTCTCTACTTTGTGTTATACCAAAGACAAACAAGAAAAGTTTTTTTGGAGATACTGTGTCTTTTCATTTTCCCAGGGCTGAGTAGTCATGTTTTCGCCTACAATGATTCATCCATTCTTTCATCAAAGTTATTTCTACCTTCTTCTACATCTAGTAGGTTTCCGTGGTTGAGGATGGATTTCAACCTAAGTCTCCGGAGCTAAAGTTGTCCACCAACTTTATCCTCAACTATTACCTGTTATGTTTTTCTGCTGATCCATCTGAAAGATGCCTTCAGCTACTTTTTAATTAATTTCCCAGTGGCGATTCTTAGCATCGGCTGCAAATCTTGTCTGTCTGTCTTGACAACCGAAGCAAACTGCAGAGTGATTTTGTTTATTTTATTTTCCTTTTCAGATCCTGTCTGATGTCTTCAGTGTTCCAGTGTACACCATCGACACTGCTAATTCAGCCTGCTTAGGTTCCGCTTACAGGGCCATCCACGGTAAGTCAAACAGAAGACTCCATAAGCGTTGGACACACAACCAGTACAGCTGATCCTCAACTTCTTAACTTATTTCTTTAGCCACTGCATTGCATTGGCATCCATCAGTCTCAAAAGACTATGGCAGTGTTTCTCAACCTTGGCGACTTGAAGTCCTTTGGACTTCAACTTCCAGAATCCCCCAGCCAGCACAGCTGGCTGAGGAATTCTGGGAGTTGAAGTCCACAGGACTTCAAGTCATCAAGGTTGAGAAACACTGGACTATGGTATCGTGCTCTGAAAAGAGATTAGGCTGGAGTGTCCTCTTTAGGGCAGGAGGCCTGGGTAGATTAATATGGGGGATAGACTATTACCCAAGCAGCAGATCCCCCCCCCCTCCACGTCACTGAAATAGTCCAATGGAACGGCAGAGCCAATATGATTGGTTCCAGCTGCTTCACAGGAGTGAATGTGGTTATACATAGTCACAAACTGTTTCCGGGACTCCGGCTCCAGATTTTGCCTCGAGGTTGACGCCTTTTCCAGTAGTGGATATAGCCACAAGGCAGTTGAGATAGCTATACAGTGATAAGGAGGAGGGCAGGATTTTTTTTTTTTAAAGGACCTTATCGGTGCATTCTTTATTAGGTAATGCTTTTTAGAGCAGGGGTGTCAAAGTCAACTTCATTGAGGGCTGCATCATGGTTGTGTTTGAACTTGGGGGGCATGGCCAGCTTGACATCACTTGTGTCGAGAGTGCCTATGGGGGACCGAATTCTCTGCCGGCAAAAACAGGCTCCTGAGCTCCATGTGGCTCTCTGGAGCTCTGTTTTCGCTGGCAGAGGCTTGCTGGAGGCCGTCGCAGCCAAAAACGGAGCTCGGGAGCCCATTTTCATTGGCACAGGCACCACGGGCCAGTTCTTTGTTTTTTTCCCAAGGTCAGCTGTACGGGCCAGATCTAAGTGTCCCATAGGATGGATCTAGGCCCCGGCCTTGAGTTTGACACCGCTGTCTTAGCACAATACAGTTCTGGTCACCAGGCTTATAAAAAGATTCTCATTTTAGCTCCTAATGATAAATCAACTTTGGTGAGAGAGTCCTCTATTTTCTTTAATGTCACATACAACTTATGTATCTTTGGGTTAAATATAGGGCCAAGAACAGCTTTGTGGTATTCTAAAAGGCTCCTGAATTATTATATTCGAGACCAAGGCTTTCAAAACTTGGCAACTTTTAAGACTTGTGGACTTCAACTCCCAGAATTCCCCACTGGTCAAGATTGGAAAGCCCTGGTCTAGACCTTGGCGAATAAAAACCCACCCTAAAAAAAAGTACCGTATTTTTGGAGTATAAGACACATCTTTTTCTCTCAAAAAAAGTGGGTGAAAATCTGGGTGCGTCTTATACACTGAATACAGCATTTTTGGCCTCCTGAAACTCTGCCCCCTTCACCAAAATGGCTGTGCATAGCCTTTAGGAGGCTTCCAAAGTGCTCCTGGGGGCTGGGGAGGGCAGAAATGAGTGAAAAACAGGCCGTTCTTTTGCTTGTTTTTGCCCCCCCNGGCAGTTAGAAACCTCTGCGCGGGGATTTCTTTTCATGTGCGCGGCCGCTCAGGCGCGCACCTTAGAGGGAACAGTGGTCCTAAGTACTGTATTTTCAGACTATAAAAAGGAAAAGAGTATAAGATGCACCTAGATTTCGAAGAGGAAAAGAAGAGGAAAAATAGTTTTTGCCCTCCCCGTCCTCCAGGAGCATTCTGCAGGCCTCCCAAACCCTCTGTGTGTCTCGTTTTTTGTGGAAAACAGGCCTGTTTTGGCCTCTCGGAACACACACACACACACCCCAACGCATCCCTTTTTTGTACTCCCCAGCCCCCAGGAGCATTCTGCAGGCCTCCCAAACTCTTCACACATGCCTTTTTTACCAAAAAGGGGACTGTTTTGGGCATAAATTGGATGTTGTTGGGAGGCCAAAAACACGGCCGTATTCTGTCTATAAAACGCACATACATTTCCACCCACTTTTTGGGGGGGTGCGTCTTATATTCTGGAAAATATGGTAACTCAGATCATAATAAGGAGTCCTTGTATGAACCATTGATTATGACATACTATATGTGAAATATTGTTCAGCAAGGGAAGAACTTGACTCATAATTTGAAAACTTGCTGGAGAATTAAATCTTGACCAAAAAAGTAGCATCTTCCTAATCTGTATGTTAGATTAGCAACTCAAAGAAGCTGTGTTTCATTTCAGTCTGGAAGAGTAACTGGCTTACTATTTTCATCCACTCATCTGCTTCTTCTGGTACATGTATGCGATACACTATTGAAACTTCCTAGTTATATTTTGTACCTTGGCATAGATAGTCTTGAGTATATATTGCTTTAAACTTTGGTTAAATATAGTAAAATACACACATTGTACCATCAGTACAGATAATTTGAGGCCAATTGGAAGAAGAAAATATATTGCATTCAAATGAATTAAAGGGTTTGTGGAAGAAAGATGGTTCTTGTTAAAGTCAGTTAAATTTATAGGACACTCAACTCCCAGCAACTTTGGGTGGTTAACAAATTGTTAAAAACATTTAAAAAGCAACAAAACAAAAAGCATAGAAAAGGAAACAGAAAAGAAAGATAACAGAAAAATTCAGATGAGAACAAGGAAAAAGGAAGCAAAGGAGCACCAACCATCTCTCCAAAGATCTGGGCAATGGGCCATATGTTGAGGGCCCTTTGAAATATCAACAGAGTGAGGGCTGTTTGAATCTTGGAAGGGGAAACCACATCCCAGATAACAGGTACTGCTACAGAAAAGGTGCAATTCTGGGATCTACCATTCCTGCCAGATTGAACCAGCCAGGCAGATGGAAGACAGATAGTCTCTCAAATAAATCCTTCAAAAATTAGTAACAGGGAAGTTAGAACTCCATATAGAACAGATATTGGAATATACTTTCCTTAAAAACCTGAAGAATTTATCATGATCAAACCAATTGCACCCTTTCCTAGTCCTGGAGGCTTTGCTCACAGTCACTCATGCTTTGGTCACTTCCCATCTAGATTACCAGAATGCTTCAACTGGTCCAGAATGTGGCAGTGCGGATAGTAATGGGGGTTCATAGCAAGGGTGGGTTCCTGCCAATTTTAACCTCGTCTATAGAAAAGGTTCCACAAATCTACAGTCCGTTTAGAACCAGTTCCAGCTCCCTTCCCCCCGCCCGTCTGCACATCATCAAGATGAAGAGCGAGAGGAGGAATTCTGGGAGTTGAAGTCTGCAAGTCTTAAAGCTGTCA